CAGGTCAGGAACATTAAGGTGAGTAATCATGAGTAACCAGCCCACACCAGCATGATATCAGCATCCCTCTCTCCTGGAAAGTCTTTAATTTTCCCTTTCTTAATCTTTGACGGACGATTTCTCACTCGTTTTAAGTCGAAATTTTTTTTTTTTTGCACAGTTAGATCAGATTAATTGTGCTCTTCAAAATGATATCCACTTTGATATATTTTTCGAACAAAAAAAATTGAGCTATTTTTTACCAGTCTATACCATATGGTATTGACTGGTGTTGAAATAAGAACATACCTATGGTTTGAAAAGCGTACCATGGTGGTATGAACAAACCAAGACTGTAGGATGGTTGAATACATGATAGTAGAAGTATATTAACTGTCATTTACGACTTTTATCATTGTGTACCATAATATACCACCCCGTACCAGGGTGGTATTGTATGGTATTGTGTGGTATTTTTTGCTCATGTAATTTGTTCACCCAGAAATTTGTAGATCCAATAGATCATGATGAACTCGTCCCTTCTCTGCAAACGTTTTAAAAAACGGATAAAAAACGAAGAAAATACCATAATATACCATAATATACCACCCCGTACCAGGGTGGTATTGTATGGTATTGTGTGGTATTTTTTGGTCATGTAATTTGTTCACCAGAAAATTGTAGATCCAATAGATGATGATAAACTCATCCCTTCTGTGCAAACGTTTTCATAAACGAATTAAAAACGAAGAAAATACCATATGGTACGCAGTTGGTACCGAGAGGCCAGAATTTTTTTCTTAAAAATTATTGAAAATTAATCTCATTTTGTAGAGCAAGATAAACTCGTTCCATTTGTGCAAAAAAATTAAAATTTGAGTTAAAACGAAAAAGATATGAGCCGATTAAAAAAGTAAGGAAAAATAAAAATGGTCTTTAATTCTCCATCTTTAGATCTGGATTTTCTAAATGAAAGGTCTAGATTTGGTTATTAATGGGTGCATAATCCATGGTTATGCACCCTATCTTGAGCTAGTTTCCATGAAAACTAAGAAGAAAGAACCAAAGAAAACGTAATGACCGAGCTAAAAAGGAAAAAGGAAAAAAAAAAAAAAACAAGACAAGACAAGCAATGACCGAGCTGAAAATCCGAAAAAGGAAAGTTCAACTATGCGACCGGTGATGGAAAATGTGGTAAGCGACTTTGTACATAATTTTATGGTCAATAAATTTGTCTAATTTAAATTAGCACTATTTTTTAGGAAAGTTTTAAATCTTTAATATTTAACAGGCGATTTCTATCTCGTTTTAAGTCGGAATTCAAAATTTTTTACATAGATAAATCAGATTAATTGTGTTCTTAAAAATGATATCCACTTTGAGATATTTTTTGAAGAAAAAAAAAATTAAAGCATTTTTCCTAGTCTATACCATGGTGGTATTGATTGGTATCGAAATAAGAGCATATCATATGATATGAAAGCGTATCATGGTGGTATTAACATACCAAGATTGTAGGATGGTTGAATACATGATAGTAGGAGTATATTACCTGTCATTTACGACTTGTTACACAAGAAACCACCCCCCATACCGGGGTGGTATTTGTGATATTTTTTGTCCTGTATTTTGTTCACCCAGAAATTTGTAGATCCAATAGATCATGATAAATTTGTTATTTCTGCACAAAATTTTTAAAAAATGACTTAAAAACGAAGGAGATACCATATGTTATGGACTTGGTAACGAGAGGTATGAAATTTATTTTCTCAAAAAATATTGAAAATGTATCTCATTTTGTAGAGCACAACAAATTCGTTCCATCTGTGCAAAAAATAGTGAAATCCGAGTTAAAACAAATAAGATAAGAGTCAATTAAAAAAAATTAAAATAAAATATCTTTAAATCATAATTTTCTGAGCCCACTTAAAATTGAAGAATAAGATTTATTATACAAATCTGCATAAGCAAAGATAAGGCAGCAGATCGGGTGAGTAACATTATGGTGAGTAACCATGAGTAACTCATCAACATCAGCATGACATCAGCAACCCTCTCTCTCTTGAAAAGCCTTTAATTTTCCCTCCTTAATCTTTGACGGACGATTTCTCACCCGTTTTAAGTCGAAATTTAATTTTTTTGCACAGCTAGATCAGATTAATCGTGCTCTTCAAAATGATATCCACTTTGATATATTTTTCAAACAAAAAAATTGAGCAATTTTTTACCATTCTATACCATATGATATTGACCGGTATTGAAATAAGAGCATACCTATGGTTTGTAAAGCGTACAATGGTGCTATGAACAAACTAAGACTGTAGGATAGTTGAATAGATGATAGTAGAAGTATATTAACTGTCATTTACGACTTTTAACATTGTATATCACAAGATACCATCCCGTACCAGGGTGGTATTGGGTGGTATTGTGTTGTATTTTTTGTTCTTGTAATTTGTTCACCCAGAAATTTGTGGATCCAATAGATCATGATGAACTCGTTCCTTCTGTGCAAACGTTTTCAAAAACGAATTAAAAACGAAGAAGATACCATATGGTATGCAGTTGGTACCGAGAGGCAAGAAATTTTTTTCTCAAAAAATATTGAAAATCGGTCTCATTTTGTAGAGCACAACGAACCTGTTTCATCTATGCAAAAAAAAAAAAAATTAAAATCCGAGTTAAAACGAAGAAGATATGAGCAGATTAAGAAAACTAGAGAAAATAAAAATGACATTTAATTTTTCATCCTTAGATCTGAATTTTCTAAATGAAAGATCCAGATTTAATTATTCATTGGTGCATTACGTGTACCCTATCTTGAGCCCAAAAAGGCAGAGATAATGCAACCTAACTTCAGCAGGAAAATGTTAGCCATTGGATGTTCGATAAATAATAATGATCACCACCTGTGTTTGTCTCTCATTTGATTTAATTGTAGGGAGCGGATAGAAGAGGAAACTCATATGTTACAAAATTCTCCAAAATTCCACCTTTGATCGTCCATATTTACCTTATCTAACTGACAAAACGCACACTGATAAGGGTCCAGATCGGGTCAGTAACTGATGGGTCAGTAACCCATCAGTAACCCCTTCTATGGTCCCCACGTGTCAGACACTTTTTTATTTATATTAAATATGAAAAGAGCAGTACAGTAAAATGACACTTTCTCCTATTTATTGCTGAGGCTGACTTTTGACCGGATCACATCAGCTCCTTCTCTCTTCTCGCAAAATATTTAATTTTCCTTCCCTTAATCTTTAACGGACGATTTCTCACTCGTTTTAAGTCAAAATTTAATTTATTTTTGCACAGTTAGATCATATTAATTGTGCTCTTCAAAATGATATCCACTTTGATATTTTTTGGACATAAAAAATAATTGTCAGTTATTACCAGTCTATACCATATGGTATTGACTGGTATTGACCATACCATATGGTATGAAAAGAATTTAACACATCAATATATATTACGTTACCACCCAATACCATATGGTATAGTGTGGTAATATCAATATATATTTCGTTACCACCCAATACCATATGGTATAATATGGTAATATCAATATATATTACGTTACCACCCAACACCATATGGTATAGTGTGGTAATATCAATATATATTTCGTTACCACCCAATACCATATGGTATAATGTGGTAATATCAATATATATTTCGTTACCACCCAATACCATATGGTATAGTGTGGTAATATCACACAATACCATACAATATCATATGGTATAGTGTGGTAATATCAATATATAATTCGTTACCACACAATACCATACATTACCATATGGTATAGTGTGGTAATATCAATATATAGTTCGTTACCACACAATACCATACATTACCATATGGTATAGTGTGGTAATATCAATATATATTTCGTTACCACCGAATACCATATGGTATAGAGTTATAATATCAATATATATTATCTAAAAGAAAAAAAAACAGAAGGAGGTAGAGAAAAAAGATCGTCTTGTGTCGCCTCTCATTTCCTCTTCCGCAATCAAGAACACCAAAATGCCAAAAAAATGAGAAAGATCGAAATTGAGGCCAATGAGATGATGAAGAGAAGAAATGCAATGAAAAAGAGTGGCTCCATTTTTTATTCGTCATGAAAAAAAATAAATAAAAAGAGAAGGGAGCAGATTTAGATCTAGAAATGAGATTGAGAGAGAAAAAGGAAGAGAGAAAGAGAGAGGATCTGGAAAAGAGATTGAGAGAGAAAAAGGAAGAGAGAAAGAGAGAAGATCTGGAAAAGAGATTGGGAGAGAAAAAGGAAGAGAGAAGGAAGATAGAAAGTTGCAGAGAAGTGATTTCTCTTTCCTTCCTTAAAAGTGCAGCCATTAAATACGAAATAAAATAAAATAAAGAATTTAATATATAAACGGACAAAAATACCCTTCTCCACTCAGCATCCGGCCCAACCACACGATTGCCTACCTCTTAGATCTATGGTCCCTATTCATTACTGACATGTCAGTAACCAAGTGGTTACTGACCCTATCTGCTGCCCAATAATAAGAAAGACTGTCAAGAATAGCCGCCTAGTCATTTTACAAATTTTTACTCTTTTTTTTTTTGGCTAATCTAAAAAAAAGAATAATTTTTATTATCAGTCAAAGTTTACTTTCGCTAATATGATATTATTGCTAATCGGATAATTTTTCCTTCATTTTAACTAGAAATTTAAATAAATTAAATAGGAAGTACATATTAATTATTATGTACACGATATTATATATCTACACAATGATAATCCGACGCCACAACAATACGACTCCAACATCTTCTTCTTTGACCGTGGTCTTGGCGACTCCAAATGTCATTGTCCGATGTACTAGAATATAAAAACGCCGTCTCTGCAGGCAGCATGGAGCAGCCCCAAATGTCGCAAACCCAATAATCTCCAATCAGCTTGACGCTTGTTCTTCTTCACGTCACTTCCCGGGGGCATACCAAAGTACTATAAATACAAATAACCACATCAAGTACTTATAAGTTATAACTACACAAATAATATAAGCTAAGTATGGATTTTCTACCGTACTCCGGCCTCCTGCCAACCCTATATCTCATCTTCCTCCTTTCCTCGTCAACTTGGATTGTCTCCTCTGCATTCGGCGTCCACAGTGACCTCCTCCTCTGCCTTCATTCTCGATATACCACCACCACCTCGACCTCCATGCCCGACCTGATTCACACCCCACTCTCTGCCTCATACCCCTCCGTTTTCCAGTTCTCCATCCGGAATTCCAGGTTTAACGACACCTCAGCTTCCAGGAAACCTATAGCCATCATCACTCCTAACACCGTCTCCCAGGTGCAATCCGCCGTCCTCTGCTCCCGCCTTCTCCACCTTCATGTCAGAGTTCGGAGTGGCGGTCACGATTTCGAAGGCATGTCCTACGTTTCCTCTGCTCCCTCTCAGCCGTTTCTCCTTATCGACTTGATCAATCTCCGAAACGTGACCGTGGACGTCCCAACCAAGTCGGCCTGGGTCCAAGCGGGAGCCGTTCTCGGTGAAGTCTACCATAGTATTGCCTCTGCCAGCGAGACACTGGCATTCCCTGCAGGGATCTGTCCTTCCGTCGGTGTCGGAGGGCAGATCAGCGGCGGAGGGTACGGAATGATGCTGAGGAAGTACGGGATGGCTGCGGATAATATCCTTGACGCCCACTTGGTGGACGCGGAAGGCAGAGTCCTGGACAGAGCCGCCATGGGGGAAGACGTTTTCTGGGCGATTCGCGGCGGCGGAGGAAACACCTACGGAATCATCGTCTCCTGGAAATTGAAATTAGTCCCTGTCCCCGCCCGGCTGACGGGGTTCACGATTTCCAAAACCTCGGAACGAAACGTGACGAAAGTCGTGGACAGGTACCAGCACGTGGCGGATAAGCTCCCTGACGAACTCATGATCACGCTGATGCTGAACAGAATTCGTTCCACCGCTTCCCAAGGGCAAACCACAATAGAAGCTGTGTTCCAGGGTCTGTATCTGGGAGAAACAGAGACCCTGCTGACGGTGATGAAACAGAGCTTTCCGGAGCTGGAACTGACACAAGAGGAATGTACCGAGATGAGCTGGATTGAGTCAGCCCTCTACTTCGCTGGGTACCCAAATAACACCTCCTATCACGAATTACTGAACAGCAGGAGCAGCTCCCCTGTCCAATTCGACAAAGTGAAAGCGAAATCCGACTACGTGCAGCGGATGCTCCCGGCCAAGGCGTTGCAGGGGATTTGGAAGAGGTTTTACCAAGTGGAACTGGGACCGCCGCTGATGCAGATCTTTCCCCACGGCGGGGAAATGAGCCGGATCTCAGATTCCAGCATCCCGTACCCGCACAGATCCGGTATCATATTCAAAATCCAGTATTATGCGGTCTGGTCTGGAGAAGGGAAGGAAGTAGAGAAACGGCAATTGGACTGGATAAAAGGGCTTTATAAATTTATGACGCCGTACGTTTCCAACAACCCAAGAGGCGCGTACCCCAACTCCAGGGATCTGGACTTGGGAATGAATGATCCGACGGGGAATACGGGCTATGAACAGGCCAGAGTTTGGGGGGAGCAGTATTTCAAGCATAATTTTGAGAGGTTGGCTCGCGTGAAAGCCGCCATTGATCCCTCTAATTTCTTCAGGAATGAACAGAGTGTGCCTCCTTTTGTCAGGATGACGGGCAGAGTATAATTTGGTGTTGTGATTACATGATCGCCCAATTTCCTAACCCATCTGACCGCGTGTTCCTTATGCTGAAGAACAAAGGAAATCGACCTCGGATGGGAGAGAAACAGCAACAACGCAGCTTCAAGACTGATTTTAGTTTCTTTCCGGCATTTTTTGTTTTTCTTTTGTTTCTTTTCTGATTAACTTTCATTCGTGCTAATTCTAAAATTGGTGTGTTCAATCTATTAAAGTTAGGGTAATGTCTATTTTTTATCCAAATATTTTTTAGATCTTTTATATTATCCAAACATAATAAAATACTATTTGCTTATGTCTAACTGAGAGTAGGAGTGAGACACGGTGAGGTTGGGGTGCGAGTGAGGAGTATGGGACCCGCTTGAACACTTAGAAAGAAGTGGAGATCAAGTGAGACAAGGAGAGAGTTTTAGAGAGAGAAACTTCTTGAATTCTTAGAGTGAGAAAGAGAAAATGGATCCCCTTACCCACCGGGGGGAATGCTCTATTTATAGGCTCCCCTCGGTGGGTGAGAATTTCGGGTGACAAAACATTTGGACAAGACGTATAACTACCATCGGCAGATACGGAGGGGGGTGGGGGGTGGGGGGGGGGGGGGGGGGGGGGGGGGCACACTAGGCCCGGGCTCAGCCCTCCCTATCTCCCCAAGACCCAACCCAAAGATCAAACCATCATAATTATATTACAGTATTTACAAATAGATCGCACTGGTAAGGTGCGTTCCCATTATCTGGACTCAAATCGCACTTTAGCCAAGCGATTTATCTCTGACCTACTGAAATCGCATGGCCGAGGTGCGATTTTAGGTCTGACCTATTAAAATCGCATGGCCGAGATGCGATTTGTTTCTGCCAGACTAAATCGCACCATGAGGATGCGATTTTAACGTACAAACCGCACCTTGAAGGTGCGGTTTTGGTCAATCAATTTCCGACATGCCATGCAGACGTAACAGACGTGGGTCTGCATGGGCCTGCATGGCAGACAAAAATCGCACCTCTAAGGTGCGGTTTTCATCAGTGATTTTGCCTATAAAAGGCCTCCCGGACAACCACTTCTCTTCACACCTCTCCTTCTCCCTTCCCTTTTCAATTTTCTGTTGTAGCTCTATATTTCTTTAGTAGTTTTGCGATTAACGTTTACTCGTAAGTTGATGTAGCTCTATATTTCTTTAGTAGTTTTGCGATTAACGTTAACTCGTAAGTTGATTTAGTATTACTTTTTATGTTATTTTTTATTTTTGATTTTTATGATATTAACTTAACTATGGTTTTATCGCAGATGGCATTCCAAAAGTTCACGCTTGGCTTACGGTGGAATGGTTACACGGAAGAGACCGGAAAGGGTGCCACCTACTTAGGTGGCAATTTTCAGAAGATAAAGATCGCTACCAGACCGCTGCTTGAAGACCTCCATCAAATGTGCACTAACATTACTTGCATGGATGGCACGAGAAGAGTTGATCGTATGGTGTACCGATATCCAAACAGAGAAAGTGGGTCATTGTGGCATGAGGAATATCTCATAACCACTCAGGATGAGGTAGACGCCATGCTCGAATTCATGAGGTCCAACAATCTTTCCAAAGCCGAGATGTTCGTTTACACCGAGCCGGTCGTAGGCGTTGGAGGTCATTCTGGACACGGTCAAACATCTGGTATCCATGGTGGAGGTGAATTATATGGTGATCATCCCTACCAAAGTTACCATGATCCTCATTCATATTTTCAGTACCAAGAGCAAGGTGAAGGTCATCATCAATCATATGAAGAAGAAGTTCAACCGGACCGGCCCAACCAACCTCAGTACAACTTCCTCTCAGGCAGCGGTAGTTTTCACAACCACCATTATGGAGCCGATGAAGGTGCGTTTCATGAGCTGGATCAGATGGAGGATGTCATGCCAGCACCAGTCAGTGACCCCTCCGATGAAGAAGGAGAGAACAACGTCAGTGCAGACAACTCCGACTCTCTTGAAGGTGCCGATGATTCCGGACCAGAGTCAGACTCAACTAATGATGATGAGGGTCCTCGTGACCGTGTACCAGTCCCCTACTAAAATCACATTCCAGACGACAATTGGATGGTCGACAGCGACATGGAGCCGCCAGAGGTCCCAATATGGGGTCCACTCACTGGGTTTATGAAGGGCCAACAATTTGGCTCGAAGAAGGAGGTGCGTCACGCCATTGAGACAGAAGCAATGACCCGGCATTTTGAATGGCACACAACTCATTCCAACACTAAAAGGCTCATAGTCAGATGCCGTAATCATCACGAGGGGTGCAATGTTAGGATTCGGGCCATCAACAGCAAGAGACACGGCCACTGGGTCATAACTCGTGCGGTGAACACACACACATGTGTGTCATCCATAACTTCCCAAGGCCATCGACAGTTGAAATCCAGGGTGGTTGCTGCGGCTATCAAGCATCTAATTGAGCAAGAGCCGGACCTAAAGGTGCAAGTCATAATCGCTGACATTGCAAGTCGTTATGGTTATATGATTAACTATAAGAAGGCGTGGCATGGAAAGCAGAAAGCTCTGGCCGCCGTCTTTGGTGATTGGGAAGAATCATATGCATTCCTTCCCAGGTTAATTTTGGCATTGGAGGCGTCTAACCCTGGCACGGTTTTCTCCCCTCGATACCAAGATGAAGAGATACAACCCCCAGAGCCAGGTAACAAGCGCCATTTCAGACGACTTTTTTGCGCATTCAAGCCATGTATTGATGGTTTTGGCTTCTGTGTCCCTGTCATCCAAGTGGATGGAACATTCCTTACCGGCAAGTACAAGTCCTGATTGCCAGTGGGGCGGATGCAAACAGACAAGTCTTTCCTTTAGCCTTCGCCATCGTTGAGGGAGAGAATGCTGATAGCTATGGATGGTTTTTCCGGCAAATTCAGATCCATTGTACTAGGAGAACGAACCTGACAATAATCTCTGATCGGCACGCCGGCATTAGAGCTGCCATCTTAGGTTTAGATCCAGCCTGGAAGTGGTCCCAAAGGTGGTGCATACGACACTTCAAGAGCAACTGGAACCATCATTTCAAGCGGAAGAAGCTTGTTGATAACTTGTGGTGGATTGGTAAGTTTGTAATTAGCCGTATAATTTAGTTCCAGTTACAATATCTTATTACATTTGGCGAGTGGTGCACTGGTTAGACTCTTTCTAAAGTGATGCATGCCTAAGGAAATGGGGTTTTAAGCGATTGTCATGATCCTCCCATTTCCTGGGAAAATCGGGTTTTAAGTGATCTTCGGATCCCCCCTTTTTCTGTCAAACAGGCTGTGTTTCTAAGGAGATGTATACCTCTCCTAAGAGTCTAACGAGAGTAACTCCGGGCTGTTCGAATTTGTAAAAATGCCAAAAATTGACTAACATACTACTTTTCTGTGTCTTCCTCAGTGGTTGCGTACCAAGAGAAAAAATTCCTGGAGAAGACGCAGAAGTTGCGCGAGTTATGCCCTGAAGGGGCACAGTGGCTGGATGGACATGACCTGTCCATGTGGACATTTTATAAAGATGGAGGGACAAGATGGGGTATTGCCACAACGAACTCAGGTGAGAGTATCAACTCTGTCTACAAGGCTGTTCGTGCACTGCCAATCTCTGCCATTGTGGAGATGACTTTTTGGAAAACGAATGCATGGTTCGTCAACCGACTCCACTGGGCAAGGACGAACGAGGCACAGGGTAAGGTCCATTCCTATAAAGTCATGGAAGTAATGGAGAATGACAATCGCAAGAGCAGTCGACATAGTGTAACCGTTATGAATCGGGCAAATGGCGAGTATAGCGTGACGACCGGGCATCGGGAGGACGGTAGACGGGGGGGCCACCGCCATGAAGTTTTGGTCAATTTCAGGACAAAAGTTGGTGAGTGCTCATGCCAGAAGTATCAAGGGAGAGGGTGGCCTTGCTCTCATGCAATGGCCGTGATTAAAAACAGGAGCAAAGACCCACGTCACTTCGTTAGTCCGTTCTTTAATATCGACTCACTCAAAAACACCTATGGACGGAGTTTCCGTGCATTGCCTGATGAAGTTTATTGGCCGATGTACGAAGGAAAATTGATCATCCCGCCGTTCGGACAGAGGCGTGAACCGGGGCGCCCGAGGAAAAAGAGAATTCAGAACGAAATGGATCAAAGTGGAAGACCACCACGAGGCCCAAGATGATGTTCAATATGCAAAGTTCCAGGACATGATAAACGAAGATGTCCAGGCCCGATTGGTCCTCAAAATCCTGGTCCTGATGTGCCGGAATCAGCTAATGCGACATAGTTTGCTTTTATCATTTTTTTTTCAAGCATGTTGAGACTCTTACTTTGCAATTAAATGTGTAAAGTTGATTGAACGAAATGTGTATTGTGTGATAAGCCCTCGATTGGCTTAGCTCAGAATCACGCAGCGATGAATCAAAATTGGATGAATTTGGGGATGAAACTCGATGGAATTTAACGAACTAAATCAGCAACTTCAACACGAAACTGTTCCAAGGAAAAAGAAAACGTTTAACAATCAAAACTTGCATCCTAAGTAACTAACTTCTCTCACAAGTAAACTGTTCCAAAACAGCCTTTGATGTCAACTTTGTGGTTCTGGAAATCGGTCTTATGGGTTGAGTCGAGCTCAACCAATTCCTTACCTTGGTTTAGAAAGTCTTGCCATTCCATTCCCAACTCCAAGCTCCAGCTGGTCATGCCCCAAACTCCTTGAATTCGAGCTCAAAGTTGGTACCTCAAACTGTTTTCCTGCCTTAGCCAAAAACAAGCAGATTCCATAGTGCATGATAGGGTTTTGATGGCTTTGTAAAACAATCCTCCTGACCTTATTTCCACAAACCAAATGCATAAAACTATAAACAAACATCCAAGGTTCAAAATGAGACGCTAACCTTGCATTTCCAGTGAAGGGTTTGAGAGATACGGCTTTCCAAAGTACCCTTCCCAAAACTGTGTCAACACTTAGGAAAATTCCAGCCTTGTTCGTATTAACTTGACCCGATCTTTGAACGATTTGTTTGAGATGATTCAAGGGTGGAATTCAGATCATATCATTGTGTATTGTT